CGTAATTTCGGCCAAAGTAAACAGACTTATTGAAATTTCAAATCAACTTGAAAACCTCCTCGACGCGATTCAATCTTTCGTCCTAGAAAACCGCGGGCAAGGTTGCCGTCGCGTTTTTCTCGCCGCAACGTCGTCGTCGTCGTCGTCGTCGTAGTCATGGTCGCCGTCTTCGTGACGACTCCGTCGCCGGCGCGGCGCGTTTCAGTCATTCCGAACTACGCGCTCGGATAAGTGTACTAATTAAGCGCGCCGTTGGATGCAACGCGGGTAATTGGACCATCTCCCGTCTCGCGCCGGGATTTTTCGCTTGAATTTGTTCATCAAGATCGACCTTGCGCGCGATACAGAGATGGGCGCGCGCGCGCACGCCGAGCCGCGTCGGGCCGAGCGGCTGGGAGAGGAGAGGAGAGGAGCGGAGGGCTCGCCACCGCCGTTTTCCCACAGTTTTCCCACCGTTTTCCCATCGTCCGACGGAAAATCCTATCGCCATCTCCTGATATCACCGCCCCGAGAAGGATTACTCCACTCAACTCGACCCGTCGCGTCGATTGGAAAACACCGACTGCAATATTCGTCAGAAACTCGCTGGGCCGTCGATGCTCTTATGCACTCGACACGCTCGACATTTTCGAAATCGCTACGAAAAACATTCCACGTTAATCCGATAAAATCGCTCATTTATTTTACTTTCCGATTCTATACACTTTTACTATATTTGCTATACGCTCGTTGTCGGACTTGCGTTTATCGCAAAAATGCGTGGGTGAATCTGAAGACAGTGAAAAGATGAAGGAGAATTAAGCATGTTGGTATACCGGTTTCAACTTGTCGAAATTGTTAGAGAAAAAAAGAAGATTATTATTATTAGCTCGTTTGTCTTGCAATCGGTCCAACAAAATTTTATTTTCCATAAAGACTTACTTTTCTTCTACTTTGTATTATCTCTCTCTCTCTCTCTCTCTCTCTCTCTGTATATATATATATATATATACAGGGTTATGTCAAGGTTATGTCCTGAGGTCAATTGAAGCAACTTTTTCCTTTGCGAAAATTGTCTCCAAGGCTTCGTTTACAAGTTATTAACGAAAAACACTGACCAATAAGAGGCTNCTCGACGCGATTCAATCTTTCGTCCTAGAAAACCGCGGGCAAGGTTGCCGTCGCGTTTTTCTCGCCGCAACGTCGTCGTCGTCGTCGTCGTCGTAGTCATGGTCGCCGTCTTCGTGACGACTCCGTCGCCGGCGCGGCGCGTTTCAGTCATTCCGAACTACGCGCTCGGATAAGTGTACTAATTAAGCGCGCCGTTGGATGCAACGCGGGTAATTGGACCATCTCCCGTCTCGCGCCGGGATTTTTCGCTTGAATTTGTTCATCAAGATCGACCTTGCGCGCGATACAGAGATGGGCGCGCGCGCGCACGCCGAGCCGCGTCGGGCCGAGCGGCTGGGAGAGGAGAGGAGAGGAGCGGAGGGCTCGCCACCGCCGTTTTCCCACAGTTTTCCCACCGTTTTCCCATCGTCCGACGGAAAATCCTATCGCCATCTCCTGATATCACCGCCCCGAGAAGGATTACTCCACTCAACTCGACCCGTCGCGTCGATTGGAAAACACCGACTGCAATATTCGTCAGAAACTCGCTGGGCCGTCGATGCTCTTATGCACTCGACACGCTCGACATTTTCGAAATCGCTACGAAAAACATTCCACGTTAATCCGATAAAATCGCTCATTTATTTTACTTTCCGATTCTATACACTTTTACTATATTTGCTATACGCTCGTTGTCGGACTTGCGTTTATCGCAAAAATGCGTGGGTGAATCTGAAGACAGTGAAAAGATGAAGGAGAATTAAGCATGTTGGTATACCGGTTTCAACTTGTCGAAATTGTTAGAGAAAAAAAGAAGATTATTATTATTAGCTCGTTTGTCTTGCAATCGGTCCAACAAAATTTTATTTTCCATAAAGACTTACTTTTCTTCTACTTTGTATTATCTCTCTCTCTCTCTCTCTCTCTCTCTCTCTGTATATATATATATATATATACAGGGTTATGTCAAGGTTATGTCCTGAGGTCAATTGAAGCAACTTTTTCCTTTGCGAAAATTGTCTCCAAGGCTTCGTTTACAAGTTATTAACGAAAAACACTGACCAATAAGAGGCTAGCTCGGCTGGCGCGCGGCGGCCCAGCCAACGAGTGCACGGAGCCCACTTCCGCTCATTGGCTCGGCCGTCTCGCGCCAAATGATCTCGCCTCTGATTGGTCACTGTTTGTCGCTAATAACTCGTAAACGAAGCCGCGGATTGCATTTTCGCTAAGGAAAAAGTTACTTCAAATGACCTCAGGAATCTCCTACTTTCGTATTGCGAGACATTTTTGGGACACCTTGTATATATATATGCACAAGGTGTCCCCGAAATAAGTGATCAAACTTCGATACCGTATCCTGCACTAGCTAAGGTTTAGGAAAATTTATGCAAACGTAGATCCGTAAATTCATCGATTTAGAGATGCAAACAAATTTTGTTTATCGAACAGTTTACAAGTTTACACGAACGAATATCGCTACAAAATTTGATTGTCAAAATGACACGTGACAAAATTCGAAATACACCAGGACTCTTCGAACTCAATTCAGCAGTAATATGTTCGTTAAACCGATAAGATATACAGGATATCAAACAGTTAAATATAAATATACAGCTGCTTGTTACAGATTTAACACTTCGTTACGTTTTTACGAAGATAGATACGAATGTCCTATACTGTCCTTCGCGAGTCGATCGAATAGACGTATTATCGTCCGATGATTAATTAAAACGAAGCTACCCCGACTAGTCTGATGCATCATAGAATTACGTCTTCGCCCGATTAAGATCTCTTGCGAACAAGTTGGTGAGCGAGTTATTAAAGGTATAATTAAAGCATGAAAATTGTCGTCCGCCCGAACACCGACGGAAATCCTTTGAACGAGAACGGCTGTGCATCTTTTCACCGCAGCGTAGCTATAGTCTTGCCGAGTTCTCCGCGAGATATAATTTTGCCCTCGAACAGTAACATTCCGTCTTTCGAACGTTCAAAGTCACTCGAGCAACTATGCGCTCGCGCTTCTTCGAGCAGACTCTGCGGAACTTCGTGGTTAATTGTCACTTTGCGAAGCGTTCGGGAAAATAATACGGGTCCCGGTGTGTCTACCCGACGACGAGCATCGCGGACCGACGACGCGGCAGGAGAGAGAGCACGACTCGAAAATAAACGTCTTTTTTTATCGCAGGTCGATGGAGACGCGATAGAGAGCCGTTCGATAGCCGAGGTCCGCGAATTCCGTTCTATTAACCAGAGTGCACAAAGGATCACCTGTGCCGGATCACCCGGGGATCAAAAGTAATTGGAGGAACGTCGGGGGTGGAACAGGGTTTGATAAAGGGGCCGATAAAGGGGTTGATAAAGGGGTCGAGGAAGAGGAAACCGCGACGAGACGATGACGAAGCGGAGCGCTCGTCGATGATCTATAGGCCAATGTCGCGAGGTCCGCGATCCGTTGGTCGTTTTGTTCCTCCGTCGACCGACGCGACCGAAGGACGACAAAAAAATAGAGGGAAAAGAGAGAAAGGAACGCGCGGTGTGTCCGTCAACGTGATGGGGAAGAGCGTCGACGAGCAGCCGTGCGAGCAGCGGACGAAGTCACGCGACGCTCCTCGCGAGAACGTAACCGATGAAGTAGACCCTAACTCGAACGTGAAAGCCGTGGAAGAAGGGCGATCGATCCGTAGACGTGCTGTAGAGAATTACCGAGGATCCACGAACGAGGATGGCCGCTGTAGATCGAGAAAGATCTAGTTTGCTTCGCGTAACTTCGATTCGAAAAGTTTCATCGATACTTTCTAGGCTGTCTGGAAGTATGCTGTTTTATATCCGTCGATGATTTATTATTAGCGAACTGTGGATCTTGCGGCGGCTGGCAGTGACATCGTGATCTAGAGAGAATAGTGACCCCGCGACCGACCGAATAACGTTACTTCCGACAGGCCGATCACGTGGATCTCGCCGTTTCGCAAGTCCCGTCCCCTTTCTATCGCCGCAAATTGGATCACGGTTGTTTTCGTGAAATTTTAATTCGCCGGTTCGAAAGGGTTGGAATCGATCAGAAATTTGCATACTTTCTTATGCATTCCACTCGGTCGGGAAACAAAATTAGAAGTCCGTTAAAATTCATCAAACATTAAATTGTACGAGTTTTCAAAAAAAGAAAAAGAAAAAATCCTGCATACAGCAGATCCATCGAATATGCAGACGGTTCATCAAGAATGAACGACTTTGTACCCGCTGTCCTACAAACTGCAATGTATTTCTACTGGTAGTGACATTGACATCTTTTCTAGATTGTGACACGATGTCACTGGACGAACTTCGTACTCTCGGAAACGGATAACCCCGTTGCTACCATCGAGCAAAAACTGCGATAGCAGATAATAGAGTGATTTACGACTCCGCGCCGAGCGCATAATTATTACAGATCCGCATACTGTGCCAATACCAAATCATAAACACGTCCGAACCAAGCATACAGTTTCCTCGACAAGGTCTAGTCTGCATCGATGTTCGGCACGTTCGATCGAAATTGTCGCGAAGGAAGTACGCGGTGGCGGTGCCGTTGGGCCGTTCCACGAGTAACAAGAACTTCCTTTTCTGCTTCTCGACAGAATGAATAGCGTAAACACGACCGCGTTCCGTAGAACGACGCGCGGAGGAGTAGAAGATTGAATGGAAACCTCGACTAAAGGACCACGCTGCATTCATCGTATAACCGCAACGTAGATTCTCGTTCGAGGTTTTCGTGGGATCGTGTTTTCGCGTTTCATCTCGGCGATACGGAAAGGCGGGCAGCAGGTTCCCCGTCTTCGTCGTGGGGACGATGTTACGATCGGGAGGAGCGTGTAATATGGTGTGCGTGCGGGAGTGCGAATGTAGCGTATCGGTAAACGGAGGGTGCGACTTACCGAGGGCATCAGCTGATCGGTGGACCTGACCCGGGTCACCTTGTTTCTGTAAATCAATCTCTTGGCCAGCTTCTCCATCGGCTGGTTCCACTTCATGAAGCTCACGTACGCCAAATAGAACCCGAAGAGCACGAGCGCTTCGTACCAGTGAATATAATTATCGCTGAAGAAGTAGATCAGGGTGAGCAGGCTGGCGCTGTAAAAGGTGCAGTCGCGGAACAGGGGCCACCATGTGAGGGAAAGTACGGTACGCGAGAATATGGCGCACATCCCGATCACGAACAGGATATTGAAGACGGCGGAACCGACGATGGTGCCGATACCGACGTCGTCGAACGACACGAACACGCCGATTATCGATGTGAAGAGTTCCGGGGCCGAGCCGCCGGCCGCCATGAATGTGGCGCCGGCCACGTCGTCGGCGATCTCCAGCTTCTCGATGATCACGTCCAACGAAGGGACGAAGAACTCGTCGCAGACGATCGCCAGCGCGACGAACATGTAGACCACGCCGATTACGTGGAGGATCACGGCGCCCTGGCGCCGCTCCTGGATCGAGAACAGATCCACCGGGAAGAGCGGCGCCTTCTCCTCGGTCATGTTGCCGCCGACCTTCTTGTGATGATGGTGGTGGATGGTAGCGTTGTACCCGATATCCCCAGGTTCCAGCTCATTGTTCAACAGAACGGACCCGTTCACCGAATAGACCGTCCAGGGCGTAGCTGTCGAGCTGGTGATCGTCTGCAGAACGATGGGGTTGTTCGGCGCCGGCCTGTGCCCCATCGAGGCGGCTGGGCCCATCGCCAGGGCCAGCAGGGCCGAGACCAGTCCCGCGGCCACCAGCCGCCTCCTCCTCCTCCAGCATGTACCCCGTTCGCCGCCGCGGCCGGCCACGATCATCGTTGCCGTCGTCGGTGGTGTTGCTGGTGCTGGTGCTGGTGTATCGCACCCTCGAGGACGTTCGCCGTCGTTAGCGAGTCCTCCGTCCTCCTCCTCCTCCTTCTCCTTCCTCGTCTTCTTCTTCTCCGTCCGCCTCCACCTCTTCCACCCCCGCCGCCTCCTCCTCCACCGACTCCACCGCCTCCTCCTCCTCCACCTCCTCCTCCACCTCCTCCTCCTCCTCCTCCTCCTCTTCCTCTCTGGCCTCCGTCGCCGTCTCCTCCTTTTTCTCCACCACCACCACCACCTCCGCCTCCTCCACCACCTCCTTCTGCGTGTCGTATCGTGTCGCGGCGCGGAGGGTGTACGCCAGCAGAGGTACCCTACTAAGGCTGGGTCATGTTGGAACACCGAGGAGCTGCTCTCGCATGCTCCTCCACCTTCGATGGTTCCCTCCGACGAGTGGACCTACCTTTCACCGCTTTTCTTTCCCCCCCGCCCCCTATTATCGCGAACACTTCTATCCCGACCCGACACACTTTCAACGACTCCACTTCTCTCCACGATTCTAACTCTTCTTCTTCTTCCTCTTCCTCTTCCTCTTCCTCTATCTCTGCCTCTTACCTTTGCCACAACCTTGCTCTCCTCGTAAACCTAGAGTCCTCCGTCTCTCTACCTCTCTCTCTACCTCCCCCTCTCTCTCTCTCTCTCTCTCTCTCTCTCTCTCTCAATCTATCTATCTATCTATCTTCCTCGCTACGTCGTCCTCGAACGTTGTCCTCGCGCAGTCTCTGTGTCCCTTCGATGTCACTTCCAGAAACAATGTCACTGACAGTGACTCACTGTTCGTTNGGCGCCGGCCACGTCGTCGGCGATCTCCAGCTTCTCGATGATCACGTCCAACGAAGGGACGAAGAACTCGTCGCAGACGATCGCCAGCGCGACGAACATGTAGACCACGCCGATTACGTGGAGGATCACGGCGCCCTGGCGCCGCTCCTGGATCGAGAACAGATCCACCGGGAAGAGCGGCGCCTTCTCCTCGGTCATGTTGCCGCCGACCTTCTTGTGATGATGGTGGTGGATGGTAGCGTTGTACCCGATATCCCCAGGTTCCAGCTCATTGTTCAACAGAACGGACCCGTTCACCGAATAGACCGTCCAGGGCGTAGCTGTCGAGCTGGTGATCGTCTGCAGAACGATGGGGTTGTTCGGCGCCGGCCTGTGCCCCATCGAGGCGGCTGGGCCCATCGCCAGGGCCAGCAGGGCCGAGACCAGTCCCGCGGCCACCAGCCGCCTCCTCCTCCTCCAGCATGTACCCCGTTCGCCGCCGCGGCCGGCCACGATCATCGTTGCCGTCGTCGGTGGTGTTGCTGGTGCTGGTGCTGGTGTATCGCACCCTCGAGGACGTTCGCCGTCGTTAGCGAGTCCTCCGTCCTCCTCCTCCTCCTTCTCCTTCCTCGTCTTCTTCTTCTCCGTCCGCCTCCACCTCTTCCACCCCCGCCGCCTCCTCCTCCACCGACTCCACCGCCTCCTCCTCCTCCACCTCCTCCTCCACCTCCTCCTCCTCCTCCTCCTCCTCTTCCTCTCTGGCCTCCGTCGCCGTCTCCTCCTTTTTCTCCACCACCACCACCACCTCCGCCTCCTCCACCACCTCCTTCTGCGTGTCGTATCGTGTCGCGGCGCGGAGGGTGTACGCCAGCAGAGGTACCCTACTAAGGCTGGGTCATGTTGGAACACCGAGGAGCTGCTCTCGCATGCTCCTCCACCTTCGATGGTTCCCTCCGACGAGTGGACCTACCTTTCACCGCTTTTCTTTCCCCCCCGCCCCCTATTATCGCGAACACTTCTATCCCGACCCGACACACTTTCAACGACTCCACTTCTCTCCACGATTCTAACTCTTCTTCTTCTTCCTCTTCCTCTTCCTCTTCCTCTATCTCTGCCTCTTACCTTTGCCACAACCTTGCTCTCCTCGTAAACCTAGAGTCCTCCGTCTCTCTACCTCTCTCTCTACCTCCCCCTCTCTCTCTCTCTCTCTCTCTCTCTCTCTCTCTCAATCTATCTATCTATCTATCTTCCTCGCTACGTCGTCCTCGAACGTTGTCCTCGCGCAGTCTCTGTGTCCCTTCGATGTCACTTCCAGAAACAATGTCACTGACAGTGACTCACTGTTCGTTCGAACGACACACCGGAGAACAGAAACTGGACTAGCGACTACGTTCCTGCCGCGCAACCACGGTCCCTGTCTCCCGACGATCGCTAACGTTCCGTCGTAACACCGTCCTGGACAGAGAAGCCTGTCGCTCGTGTTTCACACTGTTCGCGGCAGCAGATCCTCCGTTTTCCGCCGCGTCTCCTGCTTCACGGCGGCGTCGTTCACAGTCCTTGTCCCCGTCTTCGTCCTCGTCCTCGTCTTCGTCTTCGTCCTCGTCGTCGCCGTCGTGGTCGCTAGGATGCGGTGGATGGTGCATATAACCCTGGATGGATATACAGGAGCAGCAGAACGGCGCCCCCGCCGCGATGCCCGCCCGCTGCACACTGGAACAACCCTGTTCCGTCCGTTACGTTCCTCCCTCCCGAGGGCCCCTCTCCCACCGCCCTCCACGCCTCCTCACCGTCTCCCCTGTCCTCCTCCTCCTCCTCCTCCCTCCTCCCCCCGCCATTCGGCCGCCCTCTCGCCCCTCTCGGCTGATCTCTTTCGTTCCACGCGGTGACACGCGCACCCTCTCTTTTCGATTCCTCCTTCCCTCCGACGTTTGTTCCTCGCATCAGCTTCTTCCGTTTCCTTCACCGACATTGGGTGTCCTCTGTCCTGCTCCTCCTGCTTCTTCTCTACCTCGTCCTCTTCCTCCTGCTCGAGGCTCCACGCTATACGCTCCGTTCCTCTCGCTCGCGTGGCCACCCTCTCGCCTCTCGCTCTACCGAGCAGCGTCGTCGTCGTCGTCGTCGTCGTAGTCGTCGACTTCGTCGTCTTTCTTACACCCCCGAGCAGAACCACGACAGGATCGCGTCACTGTCGCCCTCTCGCTTTGAACCCCGCGTGCTCCACACCCTGACCGAAACCCTCTCGCTCCCTCCCCCGCGGCTTATCCCTCTTCTTCGACAACACCGCCCGGCCCCGCGCTCTTCGACCCCTAAAACCGGGCCTCCTCTCTTTCTAGCTGCTCGACGATCTCTTTCTCCAGTGCCTGCTTTCTCTCTCTCTCTCTCTCTCTCACTCTCTCTCTCTCTTTCACGCACACAACCCTCCGCGCTCGTTCCTCCGCCACCCTGACCCCTTTCAGCCCCACCGACCATGAGGAGCCACCCTCCGCTATCTCCCGTTTCGCTCCACGCCGCCTACTTTCCTCTTCGTCCCGCTCGAAATTCTGCCCCACCCTTCGCCACCTGGACACCTGGTGGTGGTAGTCCGTAGAGGTGGTAGGCCTGCACACCTCTCCGACGACCGCCAGTCCGTGCACGCTTCCTGGAGAGCCTCGGCCTGTGTGAGTGAGAGTGCGCGCGGCTGCGCAACCCTCGCCGGGCCTCCCGCTCGATATCGCAGAGTCGACTCTACGACTCGACGTTACGAATCCGACATATACCGGGTGATCGGGATCATCCGATCACACGCCGAACGGAGACTGGCCATGGACCATCGGGGGTTCGCGCGACGCGCGACCATCAACGCGAGCCACGGCAGTTGAACCCTTCGGGGACACTTCGCGCCACCCACATGTTCCGACGCTCGCGAGGCTATTGCTACTACCACCGGATCTGGAAATTCATTTTTCTGCTGGTTTATCGTGTCTCGGCTGAATTAGGTTAACCCCGTCCCTCGTGGCGATTTCGTTCTTTTTATTTATTTCTCGATCCTTCGACGATCCTTCGCTGTTCCCGACGGTTTGGGACCGTGCGACGAATCGAGTGGCAGAAACGAAGAACGGGCGAGCTCTTTCTTCGTGGCCGACGTTGACTCTTCGTTAGAGCTAATTTCCGACTGAGCAAGCTCGCGAATCCCGAAGGTTCGTTTCGCGCGATCTTCTATTTGAAAAATGAATCGTAACGGCGGATCAACGTGTGCAGCGCCGCGATAAAATTCGTTTAATGACGGAACATTAGACGCGTCGAAGGAAGCGCGGTAAATGGGCGCCCGGATACCCGCGATCGCCCACGCAGGGGTTAATTGGGTGCAATAAGAAGATCAACGAGTTCGGATAAAGCGCCGCGGTAATGGTCCTAAGCAAATTCTAATCGGAATTTTCCCCCGTTATACTTCCAAGACGATAATCCCGTTGTATCGTCGCAAATGTTTTACCGAGAGCACCGAATAAGTCATTTCCACGCGATCCTGCTTCTAGCACGTTCGCTATCGACCACGAGATATTATCTCGTGGCAACGGCGTCGATTACGTGGCCCGTCCTTTTGTAAATTATGAAAGTACAGCAATTACTTCGTTTCGAATACCACTGTAAATAAATGTTTAGTTGGAAGAGGACTTTTGCCGCTTTCCTTGAACAAACTCTTGGCATTCGGCGCGAGGCTTTCGCTCAAGTTTCTTGGCAACGAACGCGTTCAACCGTCGTAATTAGCGCTATTTTTCCGTGTATTAGTTTCCTCGGTATCGTAATTTCGTTCTACGTGTAATTAAATCTCTTTACCGATAAAGACGCAGTCTCGGACGAGATTTCCGAGCTGCCAGAGACATGACGTACATTCACCCGACATATTAAGAGTCGTCGTTTCAATTTTCCACGAAAAAAAAAAATCGAATTACCTGTCGAAGGATCTGGTTCGTTACGGAAAAAGTTCGCCTGCATTCGGTATTTCTCGAAACCGAAAATATCCACGGAAATGGCGAAGCAGTTTCTACCTTGCCGGATCATGAATGAGCGATACATAACCGACACCGCGTACTCCGCGTAGCGTTTTGCTGCGTACTCGAAGGGTGAAGAAGGGTGGGACCGCGCGGATCCGGAAAGAGTCCGACGTGTTTCGAGGATCAGCCTCAGAGGTTATTAGATGCCGTCGTGAATTGCATCTTGCTTCTCCCAATTTCAAAGATGCCCGGCGATCCCTTACTCGGCGCGACGTATTCCCGGATCGAAGAAAACGCGGCGGTACGCGAGGGTTGCGTCGCGATTCTAGGTCCTGAATGGAGAGAGCCCGAGTCGACCTACATGCTCCCT